ATGCACCAACCACCAGAACTAGTGATGAAGAAGTTGCAAATTCAACCAACCCTTTCAGTCCAAAATTTATCAAGATGCACTGATAATTATTGGTGATAAGAATGTGAAAGTTGGAAACAAAGGGATGGAACAGTAGGGAAAAATATAGTCTTGGCGATAGAAATAAAGCCGGAGATCGCATGATAGAATTCTGCAACAACTTCATAACAAATACCTTTTTTCCCCCCAACAATACAAATGGCAACTCTGTACTTCAATACATGGTAACTATACATACTTCTCCAGCTGGAAGCCACAGAAATAAGATTGGCTGCCTCTGTGGGAAAACACGACGAAGAAGCTCAACATCAACAGCTAACGCCAGGCTCGGGGCTGCCTGTGGCACAGGTCGTGGATGGCTCCTATGCCAGCTCAGACAGAAGCTGAAGAAAATGAAAACAGGTCCATGAGAGCCAAACGGCGACCTTGAGCCTCTCCCACCTGAAGGTCAAGAGCAGATGTAATGCATTGGACACTAGTGACGGAAGACCTGATGAGCTGTGGGATGACCGCAAGAACATCCCTCACGAGAAAGCGGAGATCACAAAAGGACAGGGAAGAAAGAGAGAAAGGGTCAAACTCGACTTCAGAAGAGCCTCTGAAACTTGCTTTCAATTGCAGAGTAGCTCCAGCAAATGCCAGGAATGATGGAGTAGAAGAACCAAACAGAAAATTTCAAAGGCAGCTTGAGAAGACAAAGTAAAATATTATAATGAAACGTGCAAAGACCTAGCATTGGAGCACCAGAAAGGAAGAACATGTTCAGCATATTTTCAATGGAAAGAACTCAAGAAAAACGCAATCCTCGAGTTTCAAGGTTGGAAAATTCTATGGGCCAAATATTGAATGATGCAGGAAGCATCCCAAGAAGATGTAAAGAATACAGAGTCGCTGTACCAAAAAGAGTGAGTCGACATTCAACTATGTGAGCAATGGTACTGGAACCAAAGGACCAATGATACTGGTGTAAGAAATCTAAGCTGCACTGGCAGTACTAGCCAAAAACAAGGCCCCAGGAGTTGATGGCATGCCAGTTGAAGTGTTTCAACAAGCTGATGAAGCACTGGAAGTACTCACTCATCTATGTCAGGACATATGGAAGACAGCTACTTGGCCAACCGACTAGAGGAGATCCATATTTGTACCCATTCCAAAGAAAGGTGATCCAACAGAATACCCAATGCTATTATTATCTTTGGTAAATATCAATATTATTGCTATCACATGCATGTAAACTTTTGCTGAAGATAACCCAACAATGGTTGCAGCAGTGTATTGACTGGGAGCTGCCAGAGAGTCAGGCCAGATTCAGAAAATGCCGTGGAGCCAGGGATATTATTGCTGATGTCAGATGGATCTTAGCTAGAAGCAGAGAATACCAGAAAGATGTTAGTTGGTGCTGTATTGACTTTGCCAAGGCATTTAGCTCTGTTAATCATAACAAACTATGGATAACCCTGAGAAGAATGGGAATTCCAGAGCACTTTATTGTGCTCATGAGCAACTTGTCCATGGATCAAGAGGCCTCTGTGAGACCAGAACAACGGGATGCTGCTGCACGGGTTACAATCAAGAAAGGTGTGCGACAGGGTTGTATCCTCTCACCGTTCTGTTCAATCTGTTTGTGGAGCAAATAACAAGAGAAGCTGGATTCTATGAAGAAGAATGTGGCATCAGGATTGGAAGAAGACTTATTAACAACCTGCAATGTGCAGATGACACACAGCCTTGCTTACTGAAAGGGAGGAGGACTGGGAGCGCTTGCTGACGAAGAACCAGGATCGCAGCCTTCCATAGGGAGTACAACCCAGTGTCAAGGAGACCAGAATGTAGGTAACATGATGACAGAGCAAAGATTGACGTTGTCAGGATTCCGTCTTGCTTGGGCCCACGATCAGTGCTTACGGAAGCAGCAGTCAAGAGATCAAGCGACACATTCCATTGGGTAAATCCGCTGCACACCATCTCTTTTAGAATATTGAAAAGCAAGGAACTAACTTTGAAGACTAAAGTGCCCTTGACCCAAGCCACGGTGCTTTCAATGGCCTCACATG